GGGGGCGGGGGGAGCAAAGAAAACAAAAGACAATTTACAGGGTCTGCTGCAACATAGATACGTATTATCCAATCTGAAGTATATATGATTCAATAGCTGCAAAAACTATATTCTCATATGTATGCTATATTTTCTTGCACTCCCCTCTTCTGAAACCCCCAATTTTCATATTCCCTTCTCTAGAATTCCAGGCAGGAATAGAAATAAAACCAGAAGTCCATAGGCAATGTTTTCTATGTAATATTACAATAGAACCACAAGCACCAGTGATTTGTTTAAAAGAATATGTAAAGCTAATCAATACCATAGTCCCCGAACACTAAATGGCACTCAAAAAACCCACAAACAACAAAAAAACCCAAACAAACCAAGAACACCACACACACACACACACAAGCCAGCAGATAATTCAGAGGCTAAACTTGCATCTCACTTAAATGAACTTGCTCAGTTGTGATTCGTCTTTGAAAAGGTCTCCCTGAAATGACATAGAAAGCAAGCACTAAGCTTTATGGAAAACCCCAGGTTTCTAAGTCCTCAGGAGATTCCTAGACAGCTCCTTAAAAAACATTTAAAAAAAAATACATAAAGTCTGCTTGCTTCATACTGAAGTTATACAAGTGCCAAGACTAGGGTGCATAGCCTTTTTCTTCTCCAGCATCTGAGGAAGAAAATCCAGTATGTAAAATAGGTACAGCTTTAAATTCCACACAAGTGCACATTGTTTCTTTTCCTCTCCTGGTGCTTTGAAAATATTTTGGCTTTCCAAAGATTTATTGCAAATGCCAGCTATTAGAAAAGGGAAATGTCTTTTTCTTCACAAGTATACTAAAAATAAAATAACATAAAATACTGGAGAACAGCTGAACTATAGATTTGTTTTAAAGATGGCAAAAATTGTCTCTCAAGTCTTTGCTCCCCGTAGGGAAGCAGTGTGAAAGGACGGTTGAAGTAGTGTCAGTAAGATCCAAACCATCAAAATGTCTCAGGATAGACCAGAAAAAAAAAACCCTCCCTATACTTACTCCCCTAAATTACTGTGGAAATTTATCAAAATACTTAAATTCCTTATAGAAATATGTAGAAAATGCCAAATAAATTAGGCTATGAGAACCAGAAGTACCACTTTTTTTGCTCAAAAAATGTTAAGAAACTAGACATTTTACTTCAGGTTATGCTAATCAATAACAACACGGCTGTACTGATGACACTGCATCTATGCTTCAAGGTGAATTCCATTACACACTTGTTTCAAAAAGCAACTGTTACCTACCGATCACTTATTATTGATCACTGTGCACTACCTTTTCTGGAAAGAGTTTTCATGATAACAATCTTTATTTTCAACATTTATTTTAAATATTTCATGGCTATTTTTTTCATCAGAGAACACTTCTTTGTAAACGTAGTCTTACCAGAACACATCCTCCAATACATTTACAGGTAAAGGATGGGGATGAAAAAGTATGAAAAGCCTTTCCTTCACAGAAGTGTCAGGTGGAACTTTTTTTTTGTGTGGTGGAAGTATGGCATCTGTTTGGGGCTGAAGTAACTGTGAGCCCGAAGTTCCTCCAAATGCCTGCTGAAACAGGGGAAAAAAATGCAAGTATAAATTAACCAATAGGGATGAAAGTAATTTTTACCTTATTACCATTTTTGTTCCTATCACAGGACATAAACAGGCTCTACCAGTTCTCATCTTAATTTGTTTACTTTGATTACTTCATTAAATTAGACAATAAATCCAAGTAAGGTCAGACACCTTTATAGGGAATAAAACTGTACAAAACAACCAGAGGCACATCTTAAAAATGTAGCATCTAAAGCAGTTACAGAAGAAAGTGAGCAGTGTTCTTTATTGACATATCTGAAGTTTCTTACAACAATTCAGAAGAATGTTAATCGTATTCATTATATAAACTTACAGGAGGTGTCCTATATTGCTGAACAATTGCATTGTTACTCCGCAACACTGATGACACATGTGCTGTTACCAGCTGTGTTGCCATTTTTCTGATGAGGCTGCAAGCAGAAGTGATAATAAACTATTTTAAAGAAAGAGCTAATTTACAGTAATCTTACTTTCAGATGTGCATTAAGACTTATTTTCTCTTGCTGAATTTATCTCTGGAGATCTGTAAACTCATGTAGATAACAAAAATCAGGCTTTCATGACACTCTAGACATGATCTGGAAGCATGCATGCTAGCTGCAACTCACTGAAAACACTCATACATTTCTACATATAGCGATGCAAAACTCTGCTTTTTTTAATACTCTAGGGGAAAAAAAGAAAAAAAAAAATTTAACTCTACAGAGCCCACTACATTTTGTGAAAGGTGCCTAAAGGGCAGAAGGGACAGAAAAATGTCACCTGTTTCAATAAAGAGCACAGAGATTCGAGTTAGAAGTCAGAATATTATCACATAAGAGTTTATTTCCAGTTCTCATTTTCCAGTAATTTTTCTTTGTTCTGTTGCAGAATAAGAAAAAACAATTGCAATTTTTGCATAAATTCACAGCCCATGTTGTAGGACCATGATATAGTAGGAAATATTGAAGAATGAAGGAAATTGTTTGCAAGAAGGATGGTTGCAAAGAATTTTTTTTTTTCAGTTTAGATCAGGCACGCACTTCTGAAGCAAATCTCCCCATTGTCCCTCCTTACTGTCCTCATTCATATCCCAGAATAAGTTTGACATGAACTAGATTCCTTTAGGCTGAAACTAAGCCAAAATATTCACTGCAGGAGCATACCTAAGCCGCTCCAACTTGTAATGGGCATTCAAATCACAGGAGAAGATTAGAGATGGTCAAAGTAAAACCTGACGATCCCCATACAGTGGGGATGTCAGATCCTCGGCACCCAACAGTTTTACTCTACATATGTGCTTCACAAGGCTACTATTTGCAGTACTGAAAACACAACCAAGACATCAAGTAGATAAATCTGGGTTTAATACAAAAACCTCATCAAAAACACATTTCAGCCTTGTTACATATTAGAGACATTTACAAAGATTCTTGCCAAATTCAAGATTTTCAAATGTATCTTAAGAATACATATTTTAATCTTTTCTTTATCAAAGGCTAGTAAGTTTCAAAAGGCTTATTCTAAACCACTTAAAAAAAATAAAACCAAAACACCTAAACTTCAGAAAATACTATCTACAAGTATGAAACAACATCACAGTGACACTGCTGTTACTTTATGTTAAAAATTTATTTATTTATTTTAAAATTTTGCTCTCCAGAACACAACTTACAACTTTCTATCTCTATGTATTGGTACTTACTCCGAACTATCACTCCCATCTTCTAGGAAAATGACAGTTAATCGATTTCCAGGAGGATACTCAAAACCGTGTAATTTATACTTGGCATATATAGCTGACGCAGCAGTACTGTACTGAATCACAGCATACCCTACAAATACAGTGTGCACAGTTTCAGTATGATATGGGTAAATCCTAAGAACAAACTACACTCATATAAAGCAACATGATTAAACTGCACATTAGTCATGGATGATATGAAATTCTTAAGTCTGTTTACCACACATTACATTACTTAATAGCAACATCAGTAATATTTGCGAAGAAAACTTCAGTGGAATTAACTAGTGACAGATCAGCCATATTTATGCTAACATGAAAAGCTGGTAATAGAGCAACACAAGTGAAAACATGTCTTCTTCCCTAATCCTGAATTAGAAACAAAACCATATACAGTTTCATTTTAAAATGCAATTATCCCATCAACAGCTGATCTCAAGTACTTTAAAGTTACAATGTAACTCTCTGAATCATTTCCATTTCAAGCTTCTTGGAGAAGAGACCTCTTCAACATTTTTCTCAGCAACAGCAAAACAACAAGACTGAAACCAAAACAATCCATCCAATACAAAACATGATTTGTTTTGGAATGATTTAATCCAGTTTACTCACGTCAGCTTCTACACACAGACACACCACCACCACCCTACCCCCCCTTCAAGATGAAAACTCAAAAGATCTGTTTAAAGAACATTTAAACTATGTCTAATAATTTTTGAAACTTTTTCCCCATTTATTCTGCCCAAAACTACTAACTTAATTTGACCAAATACCAATTCTCATGGTTCTGATTCTGTCCTTCTTGAGATTCTATTATCTGAAAAAGGTATTTAAGGCCACCTGTAAACAAGGGTCCAAAGAAAACAATTTTGGGGTTTATGCATCAGTGATAAGTAGCAACCATTGATACATAAAACACTCATTCTTTCCAACAAGTGTGCTGTATTTTGCAATACAAATAACTGAAGTGCAATTGAAAGGCATTCCCTTCATAGAAAGAAAAAAAAAAAATAAATCTTTTGTACTTTTACTTACCACTATTGGTATGAGGATCTCGCTGAACATCACAATATTCCAGTCCTGGGACTAGATCAAAGAGGGCGAACAGCTGCTCTTGGACAAAGGGAAGCCGTGATACCACTGACAGACGTTTGGAGACTGACTCTTGAATTCTGCTCTCGTTTTTTTCAAAACTACAAAACTCTGGCTGCCCACCTCAAGAATCAACATAAAAATAAATAATTCGAGTCATCACACTAGCATGCCTTCATTTCATACATATTTTTCATTCAACTTTTAAAAGTAATCTAAGTCAATTATATACTAAAGGCAACACATTTATTTCACCAATGGAGGTCACAAAATAATTGACCAACTAGAGCAAAGCGAGCCATAAAAAAATATAGAAACAACCCAGGCATTTCATTTCTAACTCCAACATCCAATCTACTACTTAAGTATTGACCTAAGCCTCCACTAGCTTCCCTTCTTCCAAACTGCATTCTTACTTCGTGACCGTACCAAAGACCACAAATCATTTTTAGTATAAAAAGCTATGACTTACAAAAGGGAAGTGTATTTCCTCTTGGTTCTTGCCTCGTGTTATTACTATAATAATCGTGTTCAAAAGACTCAGATGACTTATTTTTAGGTTCAGCCAAAATGGCCCTGTAGCCTGAAAGAAACAACCACACATACAGCAACACCTCAGCACATCTAAATTATCTGACCAGATCTGCATTCTCCAAGTACTGTATTCAGAAACATATTATTCAGGAAACCCAGTAAGTGCTGGCTTTAGGAAAACAACTGATCTGTAACTCTTGAAGTCTGTCATAATAATTGTGTGAAAGTTAACAACTTCCACATAGAACTACTGCCAGTCACAAGTGAAGCACAACAGAGCCTATGTGCTGTGAGAGCGACTGAGCACTGGCACAGGTTGCCCAGAGACCTTGTGGAGTCTCTGTCCTTGGAGATATTCAAAAGCCATCTGAACATGGTCCGGGGCAACCACAGTGCCCAGGTCACCCTGCTTGAGCAGAGGGGTTGGGCAAAATGACCTCCAGAGGTCCCTTCCAACATCAACCATTCTGTGATACTTGGCAGGATTCAGAGACTCTCCAGAGGCAATCACCTGAACTTCATGCTATCACAGCAGTTCACGTATGTTTTGCACTGATCCAGGTTTTGCTTTTATGAAAGAAATACGTATTACTCTCAGGCTATCCAACCAATTTCATTTCAACCTCACAGCAAAAAGGAAATAAAATTCAACTGCTAAGTAATCTCAGACTCATATTCCTATGCAAGAATTGTCACAAATATAATTTTTGTAGAACCACTTATGATAGATATGATGTAGAACCGCCACGTGTATTACTGGAGGAAAAAAAAAAAAACAACAAACAAACCACACAAGAACAACAAAAAACCAACCACACCCACACACCAAGTTGCTTCATATTTGTGATTAAGCAAACATTGAAGAGGAGGTTGGGCTGGAAGACTGCTGTTAGGTTTCCCCAAAAGCCTTTCTTTTCCTGGATAAGCAAGCCCAGTTCCCTCCATCTCTCCTCATAAGTCTTGTGCTTCAGCCCCTGACCACCCTGGTGACCTTCCACTGGACTCACTCCAATTCATTAATATCTTTTTGGTACTAGAGCATAAATGACAAATGGTTGGTCATAGAGCATACAGTGTCTTTTCTTCTGTAACAGGTTAATCATGACATTAAACAAACAAACAAACAAACCCCCAAACATCAGTTAGGATGAATTTGTTCTTAAATAATCGCAACAGAATCCCTATGGATTATCCAACCTATTTTTATATATAAATTCATTTTATATAAAATATATTTGATTAAAAATGCACATTCCCAGGGATACATTAAAAATCAGGTCTTCCTGTGCATGAAACCTACATTACAGGCCAATAATAATGCATAAAAGAAAACTCTGTACCCATTTCTAAACTCTTCTCACTGATCTTACGTGCAGTTTGGTCCTGCAAGAATGTAATCAGGCGACTGTTCTCAGTGAATGTTAGTACTATTTTTTATTTGCAATAGAACTTTATCTCAAGATGTGTCTACATCATAAATAATTTACCTGCAAACAAAACTAAAAATTAAAGGTACATCAAAGATCATAAAAACTTATTGTGAAAAACTTGAAAGAATTCAGTCAGGTTCTTACTTCGATCACACTCTTCAATTGCTCGGGCAGCTTGCGATGGTTTTAAATACCTCACATAGCCCAAACCTTTACTTTCTCCAGTAGTCTTGTTTTTAATAATGCTGCAATATTCAATGTCTCCATACATCTAGAACAATTAAAAAGCATATTAATTTACAATATTTGAAAATGCATTAAAGTTCCATGCATTAAGCCCTTCTGATAAATTAAGACAAAGGCAATTTAAAGTAACAATTAACAAATAGCAAATCAATACCTTAAACTTTTCTCGCAGATCTTCCTCTGTATAGGACTTTGGTATCATAACAAATATTCGTGTCAGCTCCTCATCTTCAACATCTCGGTGGCTTCCAGAAGCTCTTGACTGTGCAATAAATACCTAATGAAATAATTACATAGACATTAATTACCGGAGAAAGGGTCTTAACCATATATCAACAAGCAAGAAAAATAGTTTGTTTTAACAAGCCTTTGTATTTACCTTTTCACATAAGCTCGCTTTCCTAATATGGAAAAAAAGAACATCTCTGATCATAGATGCATCTGTGACAAAAGACCTACAAATATAATACACCCCAAATGGTGTCCCGAACAGGACAGAGGCCAGCAGAAGTTCTCACTGGAGATAATGAAGAATGGTCAGGAATATCAAAGCCTGGTTCACCAGCACTGCCAATGTCACAGGTGGCATGTGAAGCAGCAAAAAAAAACATTACTGCAACAGGCCTAGTATAGCAGTAGTAGCAAAAAATAAGCAAGCAAACAAACAAACAAAAAAGCCTGGTAGCTTATTAAAACCTTGCTACTGCAGTTCACTGCTCAGCTGGGCCTAAGTCTGCAGGTCTAGTGCTCTGTGAAGGATCGTAACTTCTCACATCTGTAACTGTTAAAATCCTTTTTAATTATTGAAATAAATTTCATCTCGGAAGTGCACCCCAGAGGACAAGGTGAAAAAAAACACAAACAACAAACAAACAAACCAACCAAATAAGAAAAAATACAAGCAACCTTCAAAGTAAGCCTCTCATGCAAAAGCAGCAACTGATTTCACAGAGCTCTTAAATTATTTTTCTAATAGTCATGCAGGGGAGTAAGGAATACAACTCTGATCTTCTGGCTTCCAATGACAAGTTCTTCAGAAAAGATTTTACTGACTCAATTGCTTTTTCAAACAAAACACATGGAATCTTCTTTCACTGTTCAAAGTCATTCATATCTTCTCAGTACTTGGGGAATACGAAAACACTTCAAGAGGCTGAAAGCTGCCAGCGAGTTCCACAGATTAAAAAAAAAACATAATCGTTTTGAAAGAACTGTGCACAAGATACAAAACCAATATAAAATACACTTACAAAGCCGGCTCTATTTATCCACAATGATCTTGCTTACAACACTTAAAATATACCATCTTAGAATATTTCACAGATTCCCTCAAGGTTTGGCTGTTTGGTTTTGTTTGGTTTTTTTTTAAAATGCGTTTTTAAAAAAAAAAAAAAAAAAAAAAGGAAAAGCTAGTTTCCAGGTACTGCATTTTGCCCAGGCCTGTTGCAGCTTATGCCACGCGTGGGAACTTCAGGCAAGGGTGGGACCCACTGCAGCTCCTCCTGAGGAGCACCGCCATCCCGAAACCGCCCCGGGTTTGACCCAAAAAGGTGACAACATCAGCATCAGTACGTGTGGCGGGAAGGCCACACGGAGCGGGTCTGACGCCCTCCGCGG